GGCCGTGGCGGTGTGGGAGGCTGGTTGTCCCGTGGCAGGGGGAAGGGGGAGGCTCTGCCCCACGTGTGGGGTTCGCACGTGCCACATGGGTCACGCGTCGCCACGTGTCGGTGTGGGTGCGGGGTCCCTGGGCGGGCAGGTGGCTAATCTGCTGGCAGCCAGACCCCGCCGGGCTTTAAATGGGATCACGCCGAGCGCCCTAATCCCCCCGGAGCGCGTCAGGACGGGGACGGGGGGGCTGCAGCCTGAGAGAGGGTGATGCTGCCTGGCTGCTGAGTCACCGAAAGCACTGACTCTGCCAAAACTGCTGGCGTACCCCCCTCCTCTTCCTCCCATGCGAGGGCTCCTGTCCCTGAGCCCTGCCCTGGTGGAGCCCTCGGAGGGCTGCAGGAGCCAAGCGCGTTTTGCGAGGGGAGGAAACAGTGCCTGGGGATGCGAGCACATCTCTGGGGTGACATGCACGGGATCCCACTGTGACTTCCCCCATCTCCACAGGTGGGCCCTGCCGGGTCCCAGTTCGGCTTGCTGGCCTGCCTCTTTGTGGAGCTCTTCCAGAGCTGGCAAGCACTGGAGAAGCCCTGGAAAGCCTTCCTCAACCTCTTCGGCATCGTCCTCTTCCTCTTCATCTGTGGCCTCTTGCCGTGGATCGATAACATCGCTCACCTCTTCGGCTTCCTCAGCGGCCTCCTCCTCTCCTTCGCCTTCCTGCCCTACATCACCTTTGGCACGGTGGACAAGTACCGCAAGCGAGCCATGATCATTGTCTCCTTGCTGGTCTTCGTGGGGCTCTTCGCCTCGCTGGTGGTCTGGCTCTACGTCTACCCCGTGAACTGGCGCTGGGTGGAATATCTCACCTGTCTGCCCTTCACCAGCAAGTTCTGTGAGAAGTACGAGCTGGAGCAGGTCCTGCACTGACCCTGCCGGTGAGGACGGGGCTGGCAGAGGCACTGGCGGTGATGCCTTCCATGGGCTTGAGTCTTCACCAGCCTGCAGGAGATGATGGCTGCTCTGTGATGGGGCAGACCCCGGGCACAGCTTCATCCTCGGGGCCGGTGGGTTTGGGCTCACCCCTGTGAAACATTGCAGGGACGCAGTGGGGAGCAGGGCTGGAGCCACCCTGCCTCGCACCCCTTTAGGGCTGCCTCTTGGTGCTGAAAAGCCATAACTGGTTTGGGGACTGAGCCGGGACCCCAGCCGCTGTCTGCATGGGGTAAGGGCCGAGGGAAGCAGAGTTTCGACTCGTCCGCAGCCAGGCTGGACCCACGTCACCGAGGCTGAAGCTGCCGAGGTTTCCTGCCTGCCCTGGCCCCATCCCACCTCGGTGCCCCCGGGCGCTGCAGCTCATACTGTGAACACGACCCCTTCTTTTGCAGGGGCACTCTTTTGGTTTTTTATCCACAGCTCCTTAGGCCGAGGGTTCCCCCCACCTTGGGCTCCCCAGGGCCTCTGTGTGACCCTGAGGTGTTCAGAGCTGAGCTCCCAAGGTATTTTTCAGTCCCACTCTCACATCCAATGCTCCCATGGGGCTGTGGAAGGAGCCTGGTCCTTCCCCACCTAGGCTCATTGTCTTCCCCCTTCCCTGCCTGAGGGATGCCTCTGCTTCCCTCAGCCCGGGGCTACTGCCCCCAGCATCTCCTCCCTCCCACCAGCCTCGGCATGAAGGCTGGTCCTTCCTGGGGTCCAGGTGACCCCTCTGAGCTGGGTTGGACCTGGGCTGGTGTGAGGCTGTCACTCCCCTGGTAGGTGTTGCTTTGGCAGTGATGGGTCTCGGTGCTGTTAAATGGGGGAAGGTGTGAATCCCCCCACCGGGATGTCCCGGATGAGTATTCAAGGGCTGGGAGCTTGATCCCTCTGTCCACAGCCACTCTCCAGGTGAACCCCAGGAGCTCTGTGGCACCTGCGTCCCTCCCTCCACCACGGGCCAGTTTCCAGCCCCACTCCATCCCTCTGGTTGTTGCTCCAGCCAAAGACAGACACTTCGCCTCATTTGTCTCTTTTTGATACTTTTTTTAAAAGCTGTGGGTTTTTTTTCCCTCCTTAATAAATTTCTACGTGTATTTAATGAGACGTGTGAGACCTCTTCTCCCTTCTCGGAAGTGGGGACGCAGCATTTTTAGGAGGTTCTGATTGTTTTGGTGATGGTCAGCATGGCAGGAGAGAGGCAGAGATGGGATTCCCTGGGAACTGGTGCCCTGATATGCTGGGGTGCTTTGTCCCCCCTGTACCCTTTAAAACCCTCCCTGGGAGGGAACGGGGTTTGGAGGGTCTTGAGCAGAAGGGGAAGCCAAATCCTTGGAGCAAAAAGACCCACGGAGCCTCCTGACCCTGCCTGAGGGCAGAGCCACCCCTCCCTGTATCCCACCCTTCATCAAATGCCCCCGGGCTGGATTTGCCCTATCTCCCCCAAAGCTGAGATGCTCCAAGGGGTGTCGGATGGCTCCCGTGGTGCCAGCTGGTGCCCTTGCTCCAGCTGTCACGGCGAGGTGATGGTCATGGCGGGGCAGGAACACACACGGGCTGCGTAGAAAACCACCACCATGTCTTTATTTGCTGCTTCA